AGCAACACCTCCTAGAAAGAACAGGCCTCAGCACGGGTTACCATAAATATCCCTTAGTAGTCCAAACGTAATGACATATTCTGTATTTTCAACCACTGCGCAGCTTAGTACCCCTAACGTAATGACATCTTTCTTATTTTTCGTCTACTGCGCAGTTAACTTCGTCACATCGGACTACTAAATTGATCCATGCTGAGGCCTTCCTTCTTCTAGGAGGTGTTGGCCAGTGGCGTTATCGCCAGAAGATACGAAACGTGTAAAAATAACAATAAATCGAAAATAAGCGCAATACAAATAAACACAGATGATTTCTTCATCCGTCTTTCAATGCGTAAAAAGATTCAAATGTTTAAAGCGCTAATTGCTTTAATCTTCGTTCATCCAAGAGCCGTGGTGGCTTATGGAGTAGAGCCCTCGTTTCCTAATGAGGTGAGTTCGAATCACAGCGATGGCTAGTCGATTCGAATTCCGCATCCTGTTCACACGACTTCAGTGCTGATGTAAAATATCCTCAGTGGTAGATCATGGGTTAGAGTCCCCTTGCCATCAGGCTAACCGTGGGAGGTTTTCGTATTTTTCCTCTCAATGTAATGCAAATGCGGGATAGTTTCATCAAAAAGTCCTCCACGATGGCAAATTTCTTCCAATACTTGATCCAGGAGTTCCCTTATCTTTTTAATTGCTTTCAAAATTGCAAGGCTACGGAGTTGAACATTGGCAGTCGCAAGCCCTATATTGGGTTGGCTGTTCTCTCAACGATGGTTATAAAATAAAATAAAAAATCTTAGCTCATCAGGGCTACAGTTAGGATCTGCATGACGATGATTGAAAAAGGGAACAAATTTTTCAATTATCTGAAAATACAATTATCCTATGAAAAACCTATACAAATATAACCTATACAAATAGCCTAAAATAATATAGAAAAGTATGAGTGTGATTAAAAAAATCAAACAGTTAAGCCACTCTTTCATAATTCGAAAAAAGGTAAGAATTCAAATTTTATTAAAAACAATTACTAGATACGTTAAAAATGCTTTAGTAGACTTTTCTTTTCAACGCAGTTCTTTTAAATTTTCTTTTTGAAATAAACCGTAATTACAAATTAAATTAGATAAGACATATTACATAGTAAATTCAACAAATCAAATAAACGCATTTTGTAACGCAACCATTAAAATTATTCATTTATGTATGTTCACATATTATGTTCACTTCACTGTTTTAAACTTTCAGTAAAGCTCACTTATTGTTATTATCGCTTCTCTAAACTTTTAAATAAAAATTTTACTTTTTTATTCATTTGCAAACATGCATTTTGTTTGAAAGTGTTCTTCATAATTTACTAAATTTATTTTTACTCGAAAATATTGCCGCCTTTTACTTTTTAAAAGCGGAAAATACATTTTGAACTGAACCTTTCAAAACTAACGCTGGCATCATTCAAAACACCATAACCTTTAAAATAAATACGGATGGACGCAGAAAAATATCGTCTGAGAAAATCATTACTTCTTCTTTTTCAGCGTGGAATTTCCATTAGTACATGCCTTTGGTTCGATTTGGTAAAAAGTTTTTCAAAACACTAATCGACTTTGTCGTCGACGACTACCCTTTTCAGAACTTTGATTCATTTGACGAAAATGAAAACTATATTTTTCTTTCTTTTTGTATTTTATAGTATTTCAAAGAATGTTTCTATTTGTCACTGTACGCCATTTCATCTTCTACTTTTTTTTAAATTTTTCCTCTTTTAAATTATATGTGCTATTTCATTACTATAATTCTTTACTCAAGGATTGATTGAATCTTTAAAGAAACTTATTTTTCATTTTTTCCCCCTATGAAATTAGAATTGTGGTTTTAAGAACGATAAGTTATGTTGCAATTTAGAGAAGCGATAGAATTTTTCATTTACTGATAAATAAAATTTTAAATACTTAAAATATAATTTCAGTTCAGCAACTAAAACTAGATAAAAATAACAATAAAAAATTGTTCAATTTAGCACTCAATTAAGGTTGCAGGAAAATTGCACCATATAATTGTTCAAAGAATCAATTTTATGTTTCAACATCGAATCAATTTTTCTGAGATGATGGAGATAGAAAGTAGTAGGGGAGAAATGGCCAAAACCGTGCAGTTGGCTGAGGCTGGGACCCAGATTACATAAAAAAACAGCCTTTACATTGCAATTGTATGTATACATATATATACTTGAATTGATAATGCTTGAAATCTTATGCCTCTGCTTTTTAACTGAACTACTGCTGCCATTTATGAGAAATCGCTTGAAATTAGTCGCAGACAGACACCCTGCTAGTTTGATACGAATGAATGAAAAACATAGTATGCTATTTATGTTCGCCTGCGTTTTTAAAAATTCGGTTAGAGAAGTAGTGATTTTTAATTCGTTAATTTGACGCCTGAAAGCAACGTCACGCGTAGTCAAATCATAGCACTTGCTTAAACCACGATTCAGCGACCAATTAGATTTGACACAAATGAGTGACGTCGCTTTCAGGTATTTAATGAAATATAACCTGAAAATTGATATATAGCATGATAATAAACCAAGCCCAAAAGTTGTATCATTAACGTGCCAAATACAATAACTTAATTAAGCACAACCATGTGATTTCAAAGGTGTTCTTCCTCTCGAGTTGCAAGTACCCAAACTAATTTTGCAGTTTCTTATCGACTTAAAATTTATTTTAGGTGATTAAGTATCTTCTTAATGTGAATACTTTAATGGTAAAAACAGATTTTATATCACATTTAAATTATTCTAGGTCTTTTTTTGGTGTTTAATGGCTCTTTTGGATAAAATTCGAGTTTTTAAGTCGAATATGACACAAAACTACAACAATGGGGGAAATGAAGTACTGCAGAGCAACATGATAAAAGTTTCGTTTGTTAATCTTCATTAAAGGAGGGCCATAATAATTATTTGTTGTCATAAATAATTATTCCAGAGTAGTAGTAGTAGTAGTAGTTCATTTACGTCGCACTAGAGCTGCACAATGGGCTATTGGCGACGGTCTGGGAAACATCCCTGAGGATGATCCGAAGACATGCCATCACAATTTTGATCCTCTGCGGAGGGGATGGCACCCCCGCTTCGGTAGCCCAACGACCTGCACGCGAAGTCGAGCACATTACGGTAGCACAGTTTAACGAGGACCAATACCGCACACCCTCGGTCCCTACGCAGACTGATCCAAGTGGGTCACCCACCCGCACACTGACCGCATCCAGTGATGCTTGACTTCGGTGATCTGCTGAGAATCGTGTCTTAACGATCAGTCCACTGCGGGACAAAGAATTATTCCAGAAGGTGCTCGAGTTGTAAACTAGTAGTAGTAATGGGCACAATGCACAATGGGCAATTGGTGACGGTTTGGGAATCATCCCTGCTAGGATAATCTGAATTTCAGAAAGTAAAAAAGTATTTTTATTTCATTCTTTCTATTTGCATAAAAAGGGGGTCTTTGGAATATCTTATTTGATTATCTATAATTTCACAAAAAGCAAAAATAAATCGGATAAATAGTTTGAGTATCGAAGGGAAAGGGACGAGGTTGAAAAATACTATTTCTTACAAAATTCGAAAGGTTCGAAAATTCCTAATTGCGGCAACTTTCGCGAAGTTTTTTTTTGTTGCGACTTGTTGCGACTAAAATAAATAAACAATCAATTCATCAAACATTGCGCGGTAGAATTTGAATTTGCCCCGCAGAAGAATGATCATTAAAACACAATGTTCCCTGTAAATCATCGAAGTCAAACATCAATGTCAGCGGTCATTGTGCCGATGGATGACCACTTCAATCAGCCTGTGAAGAGACCGAGTGTGTGCTGTATCGGTTCACGCTAAACTGTTCTGCAGTAAAGTGCAGGACTTCGTGCACTGGTCGTCGGGCTACTGAAGCGGAGGAATCATCCCCTCTGCAGAGGATCTAATGTAGGTCTTCGGATCATCCTCAGAGATGTTTCCCAGACCACACCAATAACCCGTTGGGCAGCTCTAGTGCGACGTAAATAAAACTACGATGACAGTAATTTGAATTTTGAACTCCCTTCTTCAAAGGTGAGACGAGGAATTACACTTTTTATTCACCCTTCAGTTTATAAGCCTTAATAATTTTCTTTAAACTTAAGCTGCACAGAACTAGGTAGTCAAAATCGCTCTAAAACTCAAAAAATGACACAAAATTTAAAGTTGGTTTAAAATAAAACGATAAATTAAAACTTATACATTATTTAAAACTTTTGCAGGGATTAATTTTATTTATAAAATTTAGGCGATAGTTTTTTAGTAATGAAACCTAAGGTAGACTTATTTTTAGTATTTCTTTCAGGTACTTGAGTTTTTTAACTTGTCATCAAATTAGTAAATGGTATTTTCTTTCCCTACTTTATTTTCAGATGTTCCCAAGCTATCCGCATCTGCGAAAAAAAGTGATACAAATGCTTCTCATGGAACTTCGCACCATGTGGATTCAAAAAATCCTGAAAGGCAAGTAGTAAACTAAACTCTTATTAATTTAATGATAAGCATTACACAGTAGTGGACTTCAAACTATTTAAGAAGTAGTACGCTTATTAACTTTATGTGTCCTTGTATCAGGGTACATATAAAAAATCAAGAAAAGAACTGTTTTGAGGAAACAGAAAAAGTTTTGTTTTTGTTTGAAACATTTTTTTTATTTATTTATTTAAGAAAGAAACCTTACTTGCTGGTTTTAAATCTCTAACCTTGTCTGTCAGAGTTAAGAGAAATTAGTTAGAAACTTAAATTACCTATTAGTTTAGAACTTCTCATTAAAGTTTACTTAAATTGGTGTTTTACTAGTGTTTGTATTTTGTCTAGCTTACTGCTTCATGTAGGAATGAAGAAAACCGCTTCAACCGTCTCAGAAATGCAAACAGACTTGTTAATTTTTTCTTTCTCCTAAGCTTGGAATTGTGGTTTTAAGAATGGTATATAGGTTATGCTGCAATTTTAAAAAGTAAAAATATTCTACAAGTGCTAATAAATAGAATTTGAGATATTTTAACCTCCTCACTTCTGAATCATAAAGGAATATTGCAAAAATATATTTTGCAGTTCTGAATTTCTATTTTATGGCCCTAAGTCATAATAAGATAAATAAAATATGAATTACACTGCTATTGGGCTAAAAATTTTAGGTACACATATGTGGACCTCTGGTTTTAATTAACCCCTTCCCAGTATCGCCCGAATCCAGTTTGGGCGCAGTATTTGGGGTGCCCGAACTGACTTCGAGCAAGAGAAAAATTAACGTTTCTATTTTGTGAAGCCCAAGCTGAGGTCGTTTCTACTTTAGGATACTTAATTCGCTATTTTTCTAATAGATGGCATTAGTGATTTTAGTTTTTCACTGATTATGACTTTAGCTGAGAGAGGGAAAATGTGGGTCGGACACTTTCCAGAACACATTCCACCAACAGGGAAAATATCTACTCCAACCAGACAGTGTTTTATATGCTGTCCTAAATATAAAGAAGGGAAGAGGATGGGATGTGAGGCACGAGTTAATTGCAAAGCGTGCGAAATGGGCTTGAGTGCAATACCAGGTTTTGGGATACACCATACTGTAAAAATTTGTAAAATTTATGTATTGAAAATCATATTGTGTTTTTATTTTATACTAGTTATGTTGCATTTAGCTTCGAAATTTTGTTTAATTTGCTCTAATTGAATATGATATGTGTGTAATCCATTACTTTTTTTTATGTGCATGTAAAAATTATAAACACAGCAGTTATTGCATTTAAAATTTTAGTTATTTAATAAAAAACCATTTTCTAACTTTTATAATAATATAAAGAACAAAATTAAACAGTCAAAAAAATGTTCCATTTTTGGTCCATTTTTCTGAAATATGTTAAGGGATTAAGTACAATATAATATACAGTATAATATACAGAGTTAATTAAGTATAATATACAGGGTGTCCTGTAAATGTTGCGACAAACTTCTAATGAAAGTACATCATAAGGATTAAGAATTACCTAGGAAATCATCACTGGAAATATCATCTTACGATGCCAGGGGCACTTACCTATTATGGACATGTTGTTTGTGTACCAAAGGACTTTTTACATGCGAAACCGTCAATGGGCTTACATGTGTATACACGTTGGCTTTTAAGTGGATAACCAGGATCAAAATTAGAGCACACAGCTTACCATCAGTGGTTTGAAAAATATTCTTACCAACTGCATCTTCAGTGAAATATATTAAAGTTTTGACTTGCGACCTGTTATTCCAACTGTTAGATATATGTTACCTAAAATTATCACTCTAATCTCGTTATTGGTTATGAATCACATGATTATTTACAATTATTTTCATCTATATCTATTACAGTAAAAGAACTATTAAGCACTACAGTTTCTAATAAAACTTAGTATAATATAAGAAATATTTAAAATTTAAGTTTTAATCTCCATAATTTTGAACTCTTTTATTCTTTCTTCTAGTAACAATCAAATATTGTGTTTAGTTAGTTTTTTGTGACATTATGGTAAAGTCAACTATTTTATATTGAAGCTAATAATAATAATTTGTTGATTAAATCTTTATTTTGATTTTTCAATTAATTATCATTTTTTCTAATTTAACTTCTTTTTTGTCTTTAAATGCAGGTGTCATATGTCATATCCTTCAACAGCATCTGTGCCTGGTATCCCCGTCCGCAATAACCTGAGGCGTCCACTGTCCAGCCGATTTAGTCATTCACGATTTCAGTTTAGAAAAACATTATCATCTCGATGTAGTTGGAAATGCACTGCTATTATTTTCATTTTTTTATCATTGGTTCTTTTAACTTCCCTAGCATATTTCATTGGTAAGTCAAATTTTATTAGTACATTTTGCATGTTTATTCATTTTTTCTTTTTTTTAATAAAACAGTCTTAGTATGATATGTGAATGATATATGTATGTATGATATATAGTATGATATATGATAATGTGAAAAGTAAGTGTCTGGTAAAGATTAACAAATTATTGTTTATTTATTTCTTTTACTTTGTGTCATTAGTTTAATGATATTATCATCTTTTTTTCTAATGATACTGTTTAGCAGGGCTGATTATGCTCTGAAAGAAATCCGGATTTTTCACTAACCGTGATCCGAAAGTTTCCGGAGATCGAAGGTCCAGAGGTTTATAAAAATCATTGATCCCAAAAGTTTCCGGAAATCAAATTTTGAAAGGTGGAACTTAAAAACACATTTTATTTTATTTGTTTGTAAGGGAGAGCCAGATACTTTATAAGCTTTATATTCAAGATTTATATTAATTTTTTATCAGTAAATAGTTATCATTATCGTAAACTCAAGAAAGAAAGACATATTTGTAAATTTCAATTATTTCTCCAGGTTATCATAGGTATGTGTAAATGGTAAAAGTATAAGTAAAATTTTAAATATATTTTAAGTAACTAAGAAAGATTGAGAAAATGGAAGAAGAAAAACCTGTTTACATTTTTTTCCATTTAATCTGTTTTTTTTTTTTTTTTTTTTTTTTTTTTTTTTTTTTTTTTTTTTTNGGAATTTTGACTTGGGCTCACAATCACCCCTGGTTTAATGACTTTCGAAAAACTGAAACGGTGGTAGAGATTTGATTGCATATTTTGTTATGTTTTTAATAGATAAAAAAGAAAGAAAGAAGCATAGAACTTTCCTCCGTGAATTAGGAAATTTGAAAATGTTGTACCATTCTTATAAAGTTCAAAATATTTATTAACTGTTAACTTAAAAATTTAAATGGATGTATAAATAAAAGAATTATAGTAAAAACTATTTTTATATGCTTCTGAAATAAAAATTATTTTAAAATTGTATAAGTAAGGATTTACATTTCAATTCTTTATGGAAATACATTTCATCTCTATTAAAACTAATGAGGAGTAATATTATTTATATTTTTAAATAAAAATTGTAGATTAAGTTATTGTAGTAAATTTTTTAATGTTTATTATCTAATTTATTAAAACTAATAAATTTGGTAATTTTTTCCCTCCAAAAAATTTAATATTTTTTCAAGTATAGAAATAAGAACTAAATTTAAGAATTAATCATAATATTAATGATCACTACAACAATAATCAGATAAGGTATGAAATTTTTGTCGGAAGAATCGTAAATTGCATATGGTTTATTAAAGTTTTCACATTAATCTTAATTATTATAATTTTGTTTCATTCAAATAATTACATGACCAGGAACTTTCCCCTTTCCTTTTGAGTGATTCATGTATCCTTTTCCTTTATGTACCAACTATATTTATGTTTTCTTAAAGTTTTTGACATTATTTTTTTAATTACTATTAGAAAGCTTCTCTTTTTTTAGCAGTTGCAGTTCTGAATTGGCAGTATGCGAACAAACACCCTTGTCCTGTGATGATTGAAGACATGGGCAGAACTAGTGATGGAACAGAAATCAAAAGTATGTACCCTTTATGCAAATGTAATAAACCTAGTGAAATTGTACCTCATATACGAAAAATTAGAGAAGCTGGCAGTACTATTATTAATAATCCCATTGAAGACTATAAAACTATACCCACTACTTTAAAAAGTGTTTTAGAAGAGCATGGTGATGTTTCTAGTGGTGAAGCAGCCATTGCAGAAGAATCTCCTGATGAGGTAGATTTCACTGTTGCCAAATTACCTAATGCTGAGCTCAATGATGATTATTTAATACCTTTGGATGCATTTGATTCAAATGGTAAAAGTAAAAGGGAAAAATTCCCAATTGCAGAAGAGCTAAGATTAAGAGATGATTCAAACAATAAAAAACACCAGACACCAATCCAGGTTGTATCCAGTCCTGAAGCATTGATCCAAGATGCTTCAGCTTTGTTGCTCAATCATTTCGATCGTCTCAAAGAAGAAAGTGTCATCGATCCTCCTATCTTATTGCCAAAAAGCTCTGAGGTGTCTGATATCTATAAATATCCAGAATATGAGCAAGTTGACAAGTATTATCCCTCTGAGCAACCATCTGTTAAGATTTCATCCACCACTGAGGAGGTGCAAGAAATAACTATGAACAGCTCGCTGTCTGGATCAACATTATCGGAAAGTTTTTCTGTTTCACCATTTGGTGGTGAATTTGTAAGTGGTGTGGCTTCTTCAACCACTGAGGGTATTAGTGTTGAGGATAAAAATGTTGAATCAGGCTTTTCTAATGCATTATCAAAAGTCTCTACTTATAGTAATGAAGAGTTGGACGCACCATCAGAAGATGAAGTGACACATTCAGTTCGTGAAGATAGTTCTGATAATCTCTCTTTAGCTGTAACTACAGCTTCAGTCAGTTCTGAGTCAACTTTTGCATCAGCATCTGAGAATCTCACTTATGGTAAGTTACAGATTGTATACCTCCAGTGTTGTCTGATGTGGCTTCTACCAAACTGCTCACCATTTCTTTTCTGCTTTGGCTTAACCTTCTGAAATGCTCTCTAACCAGAAAACTTACTTCCATTGTTTCATTTTTCCTTGTAAGTTTACTAATTATAGTGTACTTAATTTTATAATGTACTAACAACTAACAATACTAATTTTGGGGTTTTGGAGGTATGCATTATGAAACTGTTGCAACACTTTTCTTTATATGGGTGATTGTGGAATTAGTTCATTGTTAATTTACTTAACGCATTTTTTAATGCTCGCACAGATGGGATATTGAATTTGTGTAATGTTATTCATCAAATGATTTACCTGGCTGTTTTTAAAAGGCTTATAGAAAAGTTCCAACAGTTTTATTGTGGACTTATTTTTAAACTTTTTTTATTATTAAAGTAGATGCTATCATGTTTGATAAATATTATAGTATATTGAATTGTCTTACTTTATCAGTTCTTCTATTAACGTTATTGTTAAACTAATAAGTGAAACATTTTATTCATTAAAATATAAGTTAGACAAACCAAATTTAATGTTAACTGGTGCATTTTGTTTAGTTTATTGTATTTTAAATTAAAATGTTTTATAATTTTGTTTGTCCTGATTTATTTCTGTTTGGCAGCTTTAAATTATTTCATTCAATTTTTTTTTTAAATTTATAAAAAAAACTAGATTTACTTCTATATGTTTTAATTTTAGTTATGTTATTATTTATTCTAATTTCTATTTTGTTACTTTTCAAATCTCTTCTCTTTTTTCTAGTTTTTAATTCTTTGCTTGTTCTTACTGTCTATTTTTTAAGCTATTACTATCAGCTAAATTTAATTCATATTTCCTTTGGGAAATTACTCTTTCATTTATTTTTTATATTATGTTCATATTTATATAATTTGATTAATTTTATGATCAATTTTTTTTTTTGTAAAAGAACAATATGGGTATAACTTTGTAGAGATGTACAGTTAATTAAGGTTAAAACAAATGTAGTACGTGAAAATAACAAACTAACAATGGTATGAAATCTTTCAGGCCCTTCTTCATTACCCTCAAAGACATTGCCTCCCACTACAGAAACGTTTTCAGAAATTTATTTAGGAAAAACATATGCTCGTAAAGTTGACTCATTTGGCCATTGGAATATTCATTTTCAACAACACGCCCCCTCTTTAGTCAAATTCAATTATTCCTTACCTGAAGGTGCTAGTGTTGGTGTTTATGGAAGAAGGAATGGCATACCTACACACACAAGGTATGATTTTGTAGAGATTTTGGACACCAGAAAAAAGGATAGCAAGAGATCTACGAAGGTAATTATTCATTTTCATTGTTACCTTAACAGTTGTTTTATTTTATTTTTTAGAAAAAGCAACAAAACAAAAATGGTGATTTATTTATTGTTTGACTGAAAAAAATGTTGAATGTCATTGTGAAACTTATGATTATACTTGTTCCATTCATGTTACTACAAAGCCTGTTGAGTATTGAAATTATGTTTGTTTTATAAAGTGTCTGTATTTTATAAATTAGAATATCTTCAGTTGAAGAAACATTTTTCAAAATTAAACTTTACAGATACACAGACATTGATTACTACATTTTATATTTTATTTTTGGTGAAGCAGCATTTAATATTTTAAAGAGTTATGAGCTATAATTTTTAAGTTAAAGAGTTTTAAAATGCAGTTAAACTTAGTTATGAGGAGCTTGAAGGAACCATAATGTTTGCTTGTTTCAACTGAGTGCTTGTAAAAAACTGGTTCATGAAACTTCAACATACTTATTAAATTAAAAATATTGTACTTTATTTAATTTTTAATTCTGCTCAGTAAAAAATAAGTTTGCTAATTTGCTTTGAACTGTGAGATTGTCTCTTTGTAATGTTTTTGTACTTTTAACAAAACTCATGGCCCAGAAAGTACCAAAAAGGAATTCGTCAACATGAAAACCATTAATAAGGAAATTCCCCAAACAAAAAAAACATATTATTCAAGCTGTAAGAGGGAATTAAGTAGGTTTTATCCAGGTTTTCATTATAATTAGGTTTGACTTTATTAGCATATTTGCTTGATTATCAAAATTTGAAATAAAAGTTTTAACATGGTTTTAAAATTTATAGAAACTTTTGTAACTTTCAATATTGCTTTTTCTTTGCAGTAAAGTTCATTTTAAAATATTAAGCGCTTTTCAGACATTGAATATAGTTGTACGTTAGTGAGTGAATGATGATCATCGACATTGAATGATTTCCCAAGCTTTTTTTAATTCATAAACAGTTTTCATCTGGATACCTTTAACTTCCTCTCAATTTTTTTTTCTATATCCCATCCTTCAATTTCCACATTCATAATTTTGATCTTTTTGTTTGTAAGGGGGACGAAATTTTTCTTATATATGCTTGCAAAACTTGATAAAATAGAAAATTCTACTTATTCAGACAATAAAAATGCTGAGTTTTTTATTTTGAAAACATACATTAAACTCTAACTAAAATTTGATTTTACAAAATGACATTAATGGTTTTATTGAAGAATGGTTTTAGTATAGTTTGATATTGTAATGATTCCGTTCGTGCGAATTTGATTTTAAAAGAAGGGCTGTTTTTTTTTTAATTAAGTGGTTTTATTAGCAACAGTCACTGTATTCTTGAATGAAATGATAAAATATGGTGAAGCTAGTGATGTTACGATTATTTGATAAATATAGGTTAAGCTATTGTTCTCTTATGGATAATGCAAATATAATTTGATATAGATATAGTAATAAATGAATCAATATATTTATTTCTGTTAATATGTTTTAATACAAATATGTGTAAATATGTTTTCTTATTATATAACTTTATTTTTAAAACATGAAATATATTCTCATTAAACTGAAACTTATGTCTATTAATTTATTTTGACAACATTTACTATTGTATTATTATGTTTTGCACTGTGGGTATCATCTTATTATTGAAATCATTTAGTGGGAAAAAGCCAATGGCATTTTATGGTGTAAAAAGAGTTAGAAAATGCTCAATGCTTTTAACATTTTATAGTTTTATGTCAATTATGTAACATTTTTTTTCTATTAATAAGCAGTATTAATATTTTCTTATCAATGTTTATTATTTAAGAAAAAATTATATTTTCCACATTGTTTATTCTTGTTTATGTAAAAGTACATTTAATTTCATTTAAAATAGAGTTCATGTCTTAAATAATAGAAATCACTAAATAATAGCATTGTGCATGTACCTTAATTATCAAACTAGTCTTTTTTGTTAAACAAATACTAAGAGGTACAAAACTTATTGTTTAATTTTAAAAGATTTAACCTTCATTTTATTATATTTCTAGAAACATGTATTAAAAAATTTCATACCACCACTTAAAATAATTTTATTGTTTATTTATCAAACTCTTGTTTTATAATACATACTTCTGGTTTAATCCTTGGTTAGTTTTTATTAAACAAAAACTATGAATTGCAAATATTGCTGAATAAATTTATTTTGTTATTTTTTATTACATATATGAATTGTATTCTCTAAGAACTAGTTTTCTTGTTTATTTATTTTCTATTTATCTATAAATTAAGTCAAAATCTGGATCCCTGTCTTGTTTATTATTTACTTACTTCATCTATAAGTTAACAATAAGTATAAAAGTCACAAATGTTGTTTTTTATAAGTCAAAGTCTACTTTCTCATTTTGATGACTTGAAAAGTTTAAAATTGAATATTATTAAACAATATTGAATGTGTTTTTCGTTTTAGTGTATATCTTTTTATTAAATCTTTTACTTTAATATATATATTTATATATACTGGGCCTGCACTAAGGATTTCAAATTATTACCCAATAAATTAGTCAAGTATCAAAAGTATTTGCCAATTTTCAAAAGTCTTCACCAAATACAAATCTTCACAATTTTTCGTATATATTTTGCTCCCTAGTGAAAAAAATCATTTGGCTAGGTGGCGAATGCTTAGCCCAGCCTTGTATTGATATTTTTTTTCTCTCAAAAAGTTACGTGTCCAAGCATCTTTTTTTTTACAAATATATTAACATTAAAAAACAAAATGTAAAAGTTATTCTTAGGTAATGTCGCAAATAAGTGGTAATAGTAGGTGCTTCCTTTATGTGCAACACTCTACTATTGCAAAATTAAAAAGTTAACTACAGCAATAAATACGAAGAACTATATAGAAGCAAATGTAATGATAGTCTATGAATCCCAAAGGCCTCTGTTCCCACTGTAGCGGTCTGTAAGAGAATGTTTGATTAGAACTTGGCAAAGGATAAGATGGTCACCATCCATGACCAGTCCTAGATTACAAAAGTGTAGAAGCTATGCAGAAATTGTGCAAGTGTTTCTGGAGACAGTTGTGGCCAGTGATGACCCTCTACTCAGCCACCATATTGCTTCTTTATATTTATTTATTTATCTCAAATAATTACTTATCCATATTTTTAAGCCATTATGTTTCATTTTTAGGACTCTTTTATAATGGAGTTTGTACAGTTCTTAGATCAAGGCTCTTGGTATATATCTGTATATAATGATGGAGAACAGCCTCAACAAGTTGCCTTTATACCGAATTTAACTGGTGAGATTAATAATCTGTTATACATTAGATTTTTGAATTAAGTGTGCTTTAAGAATGAAATTCTTTTCAAGATTTTCCTGAATTTCTTATCCAAATGAGATATTATACAAATTGTGTGTGAACAATGGATTAAAATTATATACATTTATATAAAATCTAAACTCTGTTATTATATTGATTATTACTAAGTCAATTTAAATCTAATTATTGTTTATTACTATAGTTATAAATTTAAAACTTCCTAATTTACAATGAAACTAAAAATCTCTACTACTTTTAACCGCTTCATTCCTGATAAAAATCATGTGGCATATTAATATTTTTAATTTTCTTGTATGTTTATGCTCTAAAGCTATTTTTTGGCTTATGCATTAAAAACTAATACATTTATGTTTATTTCATGCAATTTTTTTAAATATTTTTTTGTTTTAAAATTAATTTTAAATAACTAAAATTAAATCTTCTTTTCTCTCTATTAGTTTACATTAAACAACAAAAAAGCATTTCAAAATGAAAGTGAAATGCTTCTTTTATTGCAAGAAATTATAAATATTGATTGGATTAAACAAATAATAGATCAATATTTTTGAATGCTTTTTTTCCCCTTGATGTGCTGGAAGTACTTGTGTTTCTTGATCATAAAATAAACTAGGTATGGAAGATTTAAAGAAAAAAAATTATTTAATATTTATATTTAACTGATGACTATTTCTACAATAGAATCTAAATGTTTTCTGATATTGATTTTAGTGCTTAAAAACAATATCATTTTGCAAGAATCATAAACATTAAAATCATGTATATTGTTAAAATCATATATATTTTACAATGGTACCTATATTTAAATTTAATTTAGTGATCAAAATTAAAGAAAATTGGTCAAATGGCAATAAAGAAAATTAGTCAAATTTTATTAAATTTCGAATTTTATTTTTGATGTTAAATGTGAAATTTTCAATAGCATATAAGAGTTTAATCCAACACTTAACTCATATTATTCTTTATGGCAATTGTAATTTTATTGCCATTTAATATCTGAATTCAAAATTAACTCTAATTTTCACTAACTAAAAAGGCTTTAATTAAACATGTCTTTAATTCGTTTTTGTATAAAAGTTATTAGAGACAATAATAAAATGTACTTCTGTCTCTATATAATAAAATTTTTAATATATTTAAAATATTGCAAGTAATTTTCTACTAGTATATAACAGATGTGATATGAAGGAATAAAATAAAAATATGAATCTTAATTTAATTATTCGGTACAAAAAATGAAAGTCAGTAATAACTCTTTTGTGTACCAAGCTTAATATTAATTCTTTAAACATTTAAAAAAAATTGTTTACTTTTATTACATTAAAAAAAAATCAATGTAGCAAAACACTCCACCTATTGATTGTTCAAAATGCTGAGGTTCAATGTGTAGATATTTTTTTATATTAAGATTCCTTAACTTTCTTACTATTAAGTCATTCAATATTGATGTTTTGGTTTTTATAAAGTGCAAAATTTTAATTTAAATTTTTAACTTTTTATTTGTAGATCAAACTAGTCTTCCTTGTCCATACGATTGTCATGGACATGGTACATGTGTCATGGGAAGCTGTATTTGTGAGCCCGATTTTGCTGGCGAATCCTGTTCAAGTAGTAAGTTCTGTTTGTATCTTTTTAATTAAGGAAACTAATTATGATACTGAAACTCATTAGAATAATAATGAATCTTACTTTATTTATTTTAGGAGTATGTCCTGTTTTATGTAGTGGACGTGGTCATTACGTAAACGGGGAATGTCTCTGTAGCCCGAGTTGGAAGGGTAAAGAATGTCAACTACGTGAAGATGAATGTGAAATTTCAGATTGCAATGGTCATGGAGATTGTATTGATGGAATTTGCCATTGTTTTCCTGGTTACAAAGGATTTCACTGTGAAGAAGGTTTGCATATTTCTATTCATTTACGCAATTTTTTTATGAGTTATTTTCTTATAAAATTAATTAATGTAATTTGATTTAATCGAACAAGTATTAGGAATTATAATTAAATTGTCTATAATAGATTATATGAGCATTAAATGTTGCAGATTATCTTGCTTTTAAATTATTTTAAAGAAATTATGTTGTATTTATTACTTTGTTTTAACAGAAAAGAAATTGAGACTTAATGCTTTATGTGCTTCAATGAAATTTATCTTATTTTATATTATGCTAATAAACAATCAATATACATTAATATGCTTTCAATTCCACGTGTAAATTGAATTTTTTTTTAATAAATTTTGAAATTTTTTTTTACTATTTGAATTTTCATTTTTATCTTCTCAAAAATCATAGTTTATTCCCCTCTTTTTTTGTTACCATTTATAAACTTGAGTACACTTGCATTTCACATTTAATATGATGCAAAGATTAATTTAATGTATGTTTCTCCATAATTCTATATAAAAGCATATACATCTATTATAATACTATAAGACAGAAGTTTTTGTATAATTTAAAAATCTTCAATAATTGTTTATTGATTCTTTATATATATATATATATACTNATATATCTATATATAATTTACAATTTATTTGTTGTTAACTAGACATAATTTTAAAAAAGGTGTTGCTAATGTTCCCTCACAATTTTAGCATTTTAAATGCTTGGTTTCAAGCTTTTCTAAAGTTTGAACCGTGTATTTATTCTCCTGTAACAAATACTCTTATTTGTCACTGTGGTGTTTAAATTAAAGAATTCTTTATTTACTTCGAGTGGTAACATTTAGAAGTTGTAATGACTTTCAATTCACTTTATTTAGGTAGTGTAAATATCTTTGATTTTATGACATAATATGAAATGAAAGTTTTTCCATTTTTTAGAGTTGATTAGGTTTATAAACAGAGCTCTTTTTGTTTTGTGTGTGTGCCATCCTAGTCTTTCAGTTGTATTATCATAGTATTTCAATTATGTTATCATAGCTCTGTTTATTTATTCTTACCTTCTTGATTGATAGTGTTTCAGCTGTGTTAACATAGTTCATTTTATTTACTCTTACTTAGTTGACTGCCTAGACCCTGCTTGCTCGGAGCATGGAACTTGTGCCAATGGAATGTGCATATGTCGAAAGGGATGGAAGGGTGCCGATTGTGGGGAACCGGATTCAGATTCATTACGTTGTCTGCCCGATTGCTCTGAACATGGCCATTTCGATGTTGAGCTACAGAGGTGTGTTTGTGATAATCGTTGGTCAGGTCCTGATTGCTCCCAAGGTGAGATTCTTCGTCAATCTCCATTGTATTTATATATTTTATTCCTTTTTATTACAATCTTATTCATATACTAATCTTTTGTTTCATCATCTCTAATGAAGCAATTTTTTTCTATGAATCTAAAATAAAGTTCAGAATGATGTTATTCATTGAATCAACTGTTATTTAAAAGGTGAAGAGTAAAATTCCACTTTTTGTGTTAATTTCTAGAGCGATGTGATTTGGATTGTGGTTATCATGGTCACTGCCAAGGAAATGTTTGCATCTGTGATAGTGGCTGGTCTGGACCAAAGTGCAATGAAAAGCAATGTGATCCACGCTGCCTTGAAAATGGACAATGCGTTAATGGAACGTGTATTTGCATCCAGGGATGGAACGGTTATTTTTGTACTTTAGGTGAGTGTAAAGCAAATGTGGCTTAGAAGTTTTGTTATGGCTTAAAAGTTCTAACATTCAAGAATTTTAATTTAAATAAACAAAAATTTGTTCTTCATAATGAAAAAGGTTGAAAATATTATACATTTTACTGCAAAAGTCATTTTAGATCTCTTTTGTTTTATTTGTACTATGGTAGAAAAATGCTCTTGACTTATATTTCATTTTAAAACTTATTTTATCAGAGGGATGTCCGCAAAATTGCAATAGGCATGGCACCTGTACAAAAGTTAACGAAGACTGGCAATGTAAATGTGATGATGATTGGTCTGGAGGAAGTTGCAATATTCCATTAGAAAAAATATGTGACGATAAGATGGACAATGATAATGGTAATCACATGTTCTAGTTCTAAAAACATATTATATTTTGTTTTCATTTTAATTTATTTACCATACCTAAGTATTTATCAAATATATATTTCTCCAGGGGTAGCATTCCCCCTAAAATTTATAAAATTCCTAAAACTATGTGCAAACCCTAAAATTCCTGAAAATCTGATAAAAGTTTGTTGGCGTTCCTAAAAAATTAGAGTTATAGGCTAAATATAAATAAAAAAGCAGTAATCTAAAATATAAGAATTTAACTACATTAATTAAAACTTTTAATTTGGTCACATGGGAATTCTGATCCTGAAAGATGCTTTTCTATAAATAAAGCAATGCTTAATGTGAGTCACCATGAGAATACTATTATGTCTCTTAGACTAATCAAAGATACCATTTGAAATTATGGAGGAGTGTTGAAGATCACCACAACACTATTGAGGGCAGTAAAAGAATCTCACAAATCCTATCAAAAATATATTAGCAAAATGATCATAATTAATTTGTTTTTCTCTAACTTCTAATATAAATTGCTGATTTGAAATCTAATAATATCACACAATAGTTTTTCTTAATAAAGTAAGGTAAAGGGTAATAATAAAGTTTTGATTAAGAAGGTAAAAATTAAATAAAAATCCAAGTTGGTGTTAATTTATTTTTTCTCTTGATTTATTCTCACTTTTGCCTGTTCCTGAATTATGCACTTAATTTCTGATAGGTAATATGTAAAGTTGAAATTTCATTTTTACACTTTAGAGATTTCATTCTTGACTTAATAAATTTCAGAGCTTTATTTTATGGCTTGCTATTTTATGGCTATTTATGATATGTATGGATGAATAAGAATAATCTTCTGTTATGTAATAAACTACTGTGTGATCTATTTTTATCCTAGCAAAATCATATATTACCCCTAAAATTTGTTGAAAAAAGTTCCTAAAATGACCCTAAAATTTTAAAAAACTTTGCTGCTACCCCTGTTTCTCCTATCTGGTTATATTGTTTGTGGGCATTACCTTGACTTTCGTATTTTGTAAAATTTTTGAAACAAAAACTTTAGAGAATGAAGCAAAGTATACAGTCTTAAATTTTAATTACTGTATGTCTCTTCACCAGTACTGTATGACTCAATGACCAGTTATTGATTGATGTATTACTTCATATTTGCTATGCCTGTTGATTGGTAAACTAGTTCTGCTTACTATCCAATTTTTAACGTTAACAGCCCCATGTTTCACATTACACCAAGTCTTTTTTTTTTCTTTACTATTTCAAATATCTTGGTATATGTTTTTCATTTTCAAAATAATTAAACCTATGGATAATTTAATTTTGTTGATATCTGAACTTATAATAATTCATAAGTCATTAAAATCATTTATTGGGATGCATCATTTTGATTAGAGCAAAGTGTACACCCTTTTTTTTATCATTATTAACAATGACCAGTTGTTCTAACCGATTGATGTATTATATCATATTAGCTGTATTTCTTGAAAATTATGAAAATTTTCTCCTGTTAATAATTTGTTTTAATTGGTAAACTAGTTCTGTGTAGTATCCAATTTTTAACGTTAACAGTACCATATTTCACACTGCACAAGTGTCCTTTTTTTTTCTTCTTTACTATTTCAAATATCTTGGTATGTGTTTTTCATTTGCGAAATAATTAAACCTATCGATAATTTAATTTTAGATGGCTTAATTGACTGTGCAGACAGTGAGTGTTGTAAATCTAAAGTCTGTGAAAACAATCCTTTGTGTTTCTCTTCACCATCACCTTTGGATATTTTACTTCGTAAACAACCTCCAGCTGTTACAGCTTCTTTTTTTCAACGAATGCAATTTCTTATTGAAGATGGCTCTGTTCAAAGTTATGCTAACAAGGCTGCATTTAATGAGACGTAAGTTTTTTTTTGTTTGCGATAGTTTAGTATTTTAGTCAATTTTTGTGATTAAACACAAATTATTTTATTAGTAAAAGAGACAAAAAATACAATCCTTATTTTTCATCAATGGGCAAAAAACAGGGGAATCTCGCTGATATTTATAAAGCTATTATAAGATTATTTATTTTTCTAAATTTTTGTTATTTTTGTAAATTCAAGGTATTTTGAACTCCAATATTAACTTTTCATAAATTAAAGTAATTTTTTTTTCCTTTTCTTTATTTCTTTTACTTTTTTAAAAAAATAAGCTTTACTTTGAATAATTATTATTACATACAAATAGATACCTGCCAGCTGTTCCAGATTTTGCGGTAGATTTTTATATATATTTCATTAGGTAGCAAAATTTTTGCATTAATGCTTGATTTCTGTTTTTAAAAATTTGATTTATTTTAATTTTAACTACTATTACATTTAAATAGTTTAAAAAATCACAATGAAGAAAGGTTAGTTATTTTATTGCCTTTCAATTGATGATGAAAAGTGAATTATGTTTTTGTCTACAATATAATTTCAATGATTATTTTACTGAGAAAAATTTTTTTTTGAAAAGTGCAAAAGTTGACAGGTTTTCAAATACTATTTATATGAAAATATTAAAGTCGTTCAATTTTTCAGCTTGTTAAAATTTTCTATTTAAAACGAATAATCCTGAAATTCATATAAAAGTATTTCAGCCCGAAAAAATTTTTCTATCTTAAATTCTTATCTTTTAATATTTATTAGGTTGAATGTGATTTTTTTTTTTTTTTGAGAAGAAGTATATTAATAAATAAGACTAGTATTTAGACAAATACAGCCTACAGCCACTAAATAGTGTTGCCATCTAGTGATGCTTTTTTACTCTTTTTCTCTCTATGATATTTTGTATTTAGCATGAAACTAAAGACCCAAATTATGATTTCATTTCTTATATCATTTAAACAATTATAATTTAAGATAATTAACAGGCTAGTTTTTTAATATTACTTCTTGAATTATATTTAACTACTTTTATTTTATTATTTTTGTTATTTCTCTCTAATATACTTATAATTTATAATACTTAGCAATTAAGATGTTTAATTTATAGTCTAAAAACTTACTATTATATAATAGATTTTTATCAAAACATAAAAATTCTTTTACTTGCTAATGTTATTATTATGTAAGACAGTCGTAACTCTTGACTATCTCCCTACTATGAATATTTAACTATTATTTCACTGAAAAATATTAACTTTCATTCATGCTAATAATTTGTATTGAGACCTGCTTATTTCTCAACATCTTAAATTTTTGATAAATATTTTTGTTTCCTTCTCCATGCTGCTTAGTATGTTTTGGAATAATTTTAATGCCAGGTATGTATACTAAATATCTAAAAATTATAAGATATGTATGTTAAATATTGTACTTGTTAATATGTTCTGAAGTAACCTTTATTATTTACATGAGCTTTTATAATTTTAGTCGAGCTGCAGTAATTCGAGGATGTGTAGTTAGTATTCTGGGAAATGGTTTAAAAGGAGTAAGAGTCAGTGTGAGATCTGATTATAAATTAGGTTTCACGATAACAAGAGACACTGGTTGGTAAGTTATTTGTCTATTATTTTACATGTCTATTATTTTAAATTAGCTAAGTGAAATGTAGATTATTTTTAAATCTATTTTTTGGGGGTCTGGTCTAGTGTACACTATATCTTGTTTATATATATATATATCCATTTGTTTTTGAAATCAAGAGAGGTAGTTGGAAGATAAATAATAAATAGATTGCTTTTCACACTTTGAATCTGAAAGGAATTAGTTTGCTTAATGTTGAAAACTTACTCAATTTGAATATAATAAAGAATTTTTCAAAAATGTTTTCTTTTGCATAAAGCTAAGTTTTTACCTTTGTTAAAATTGCATTTCCTTTGGAGAATTTAAAAACATTATTTAATTTAAAATTTTTAAAAATTGCTTATAAATAAACAAATATCTATAGTGATAGATTGCCACCTATCCAAGTAAAGATATGGTATGCTTTCGTGCAATGTATGAAAAAGATAAACATAAATAAAGCACAAATAATAGCACAAAACCGATATACTACTATTGTTTCATTTCTATAAACAAGAACACTCCTCAATATTTAAACATAGAATATTACCACCTATCTCATCATTAGTCAAGGTATCGGTAGATAAATAAGAAATTTTGTTTAGTTGCAATTCTTAAAAGATGATCCTGCATTTGATCTTGTTTTATTTCTAACTCTTTGTCTGGAAAAAGATAAATAAGAAAAGCACGAAATGGACACTGTGTATTTCTAATGAAATATTCTGTATGTACTTATTTGGTTGTGTATTTGTATTTTTCTTAAACTATATATTTAATAATATAATAGCACAAAGGGTAAAGTTGAGAGACTTATAAAATTCGATTTCTTTCTTTTTATCTATTCAAAAAAAAACATTTTAAAAATGCACCAATTTCAAGTTGTATTTACTTAATATTTCTTCTTTTTGTTTGTGAAAATTTCAATGTACAGTGGAGCATCGTTTATACGACGATCGCTTATACGACGTTTACATTTATACGACGTTTTAGTGTGGTCCCTAATCATTCCTATTCATTTTAATGTAAAACTATGTCGTTTATACGACGCACAGAATCGGTTATACGTCGGTTTTTAGATTTTGTTCACGTTTATTTAATTTTTTATTTTTTCTTGTGTATTTTAAAAAAGGGTGGAATTTGCCAACATGAATGATACAGAAAAGGGCACCAACGAGAATGCTTGGATGACGACCGTAATTTTTACTAGATGACTGAAAAAATGTTATGAAGAGGCAAAAACGACAATGTTATGACAATGTTATGAAGAGGCAAAAACGAAAAATTTTGCTATTCATAGACCAATGTCCAGCGCACCCATCGATACTACTTATTTTGGAAAATGTAAAAGCTCTCTTTTTTCCTGCAAATTGCACAAGTGCGCTTCAGCCATTAGATTTGGCCGTGATTAGAAATTTAAATTGCGTCATAGAAAGCAGTAAGTTCAACTCGCTATTCAAAGCATTGTAGAGACCAATAGCAAGAAAATATAATTAAAGGTAACATGCATTCAAATTGCTCACTGCAATTTTTCTTCTTTGGTTATTTGTTTGTTTTGCTTTGTCTAATTTAGAAATTTATGTAAATCAACACGTTAAGCATTAAAATTAACTGAAAACAGAGTTAGTTTCAGTTTTAGAAGTAAAAAATCGATTATACGACGTTATCGTTTATACGACGTTTTTCGGTGGTCCCTTCGACGTCATATAAACGATGCTCCACTGTATTTTGTTTTTATGCAAAGAAATAAATACTTTCTGTTCTTCTTACCAAAAGCGAATTTGACTGTAGTAAATATCTACCATTATAATAAAGTCTGAGAAGGAAAAAAAAATTTATTTCCATTTGCATGTTAGCTTACCTCTCTAGTACCCACTTTTCTTTATAATCAAACACTAATCTAATTGTTTCATAACAATGGTATTTGCAAGAATAACAATACAACATATACTAGGGTAACAATGTGTATACTAGGCTCTCTAAGTACAGTGATACCTCTAGGAAAGACCACCTCTATGTAGTGACTACTTTTGGTAGGCTCAAGATTTTTTCCATAGACTTTATGTTGAAGAAACCCTTTAGGGGAGATCATTAAAACCTTTTTCAGTGACACCATCTTTAACAATGACATTTGTCAGAACACACTTTCAATGCACTTTGAGAGAGACATCATATAGTATTTAAAAAATTATATTTAATCCAAAAATAAATACACAAATCTAAAGTAAATACAAGTTACTCTGTGTTGAAAAGATTATTATAATGTCAATTATTGAATTGTTGACTTTTTTGTGTGCTATATGATTCTAAATTGCTTTTTTCCTTCAAGGTTTGATTTGATGGTTAATGGTGGTGGAGCAGTTAACCTTGAATTTCAAAGGGATCCATTCAAACCTCATGAACATACCATTGTTGTTCCATGGAATGAAATAGTAGTTGTTGATAAAATAACAATGAAAATAAAAGAAGATACATTACCTGATTACAGATCCAACTTGTGTATGGAACATGACTATGATGTTATGAAACCAGTTGTTCTGGCTACATGGAAACATGGCTTCCAAGGTGGATGTGCTGAAAAAAGTGCTATACTGGTTGAATCACAAGTAAATATTACAATAATATTAAAACTCTTTGCATATTGTCCTAATAGTTAATTTTATACTTGGTTATTGCATTGTGTTTCTTTCTAAAGCAAACTTTTGCATAGTTGTAAAGTATGTAACTTTTGGAGAAAAGTTTTTTAATATTTGTCAATGTTATTATGTTCTACAAATAGAAACAAAGTTGCCTTGATTGATAAAAACTAGTTAAAATCCATATTCTTATATGTATAGGCAATCTAAAATTAGATTGAGTATAATACCACTTTGAGGCCTGGTGCTAAGTGGTTTTTGCTCAAAACCTTAAATAACACTAAAACTTAAAGTGTGAAATGTTAATCACTTAACTTAGTATAATTTTACCATCTAACAATCATTTTGGCATTCTAACAATCCACCTGACTATATTAAATTTATTAATACCTTAGTTGACTGAATTTGTAGATTAAATAAAATTGTGAGAGATGAGTGTTTTTTCAGTTGTGTCCATTTTGTGGGATTTATTATTATTCTCCTGTGTTACATGTAAAGTATGTCCTTTATTCACCTATACAATCTTGTGTTCCTTGTAGTATATACACATTTCATGTACTCAATGAATTTAAATTTCTGCTATTTAAAACTTCTTTAATGTCACCACAAATTTTATTTTTTAATTTATGACATACGTTTTTTAAACATATAATTGAAACAAACGTCTGTGTCTAAAAAATTTCCAAAATTAAACTTCATAATCTCTTTATCGTCTTAAATAAATTATTTATCATTTAATACACATCTTCTAAGCATGCAATGAGAGAAAATCTGAGAACTGAAAGTCTCTTTTGAATACTTGTTTGAACAAATTATTTATTATCTAGTAATATTTAATTTCCTGTGATATCTAGTTTTCAAACATTCAATAAAAGCGTGCATCTGTACTTAAAATTTTTTAAATTTTAATATTTTTAACCGATTAAGCATTACACCCTCTTTTAGAAAATAAACTTAAATTGTTCTTTCTTCCGAAGATGAGACTAATGCTTTTGAACACAGACTTTTATTCTCTATTGAATGAGACTAAACTGTTTATAATACTTTCAGTCTAGTTTATGGTTAAAAAAGTCTTGAGTCTTGGTATTTAGCATTAGATTGGATATACTTAATTTGTTAAAATTTATTAGTTAAATGTTTAAAAATAGCAATTGAAAATCTTTTTTTGTGTTACTGAATGCATTTACTCCTAATGAATAATATTTAATTTTTAGGTTGTACAAGAAAGCCTTGCAATACCTGGGACTAACTTACATTTAGTGTATCACAGCAGTAGAATGGGAGGATATCTGTCAACCATTCAGCTTAGACTTACTCCTGATGAAATCCCTCCTAGTTTACGCTTCATTCACCTTAGGATTTCAATCGAAGGAATTCTATTTGATAAGACCTTTGAGGCTGCACCAGCTATTAAATTTACATATTCTTGGGATAGAAGAAATATATATCGGCAGAAAGTTTATGGTGCTGCAACTGCTACTGGTAATAAAATTAACTATTAAATTAATTGAAATGTGAATAAAAGTAAAGAAAGCACAAAAATGGACATTTGTGATTCAACAGATTCTTGTTGATGGTGCTGAAACTATAGTATAACCATTTTTGTGCCATTATTTGTGCTTTATTTATGTAAAACAAAGTATATTCTATCTTAATTTGGATACTTGAAATCTTGTTACATCTTTTTTTTTGAAAATCTCTATGCTTAGACTGAGAGTCAATGTCCACATTTTCTGTAACAAATATGTAATATTATTATTTGGAATTTCACAACTCACAAATTATTTTTGATTATTTAACAAAATGAATTGATTAAGTAACTAATGATTGTGAAAATTGATAAAAAAAATTGACTGTTTAACAATTGATTGCAAAAGCAGAAGAAAAATTGTGGTAAATTGTGTTTAACTCAAAAATAAGAATTTAAGTCAGAAATTAGACTTATTATAAAATGTTATTTTAGAAGAATCTGTTCTTTTCAATTTGTAATGGTTATAATTAATAAGTTATCAAAACATTCTTAAAGTAATGAAATATGAGTAACTAATAAAAAAAATTTGAGATCAATTTATTTATTTATTATTAAATTTTACATGTATTAAACTCTACTTATACTGTTTTATAGTATTTATGCAATTACTTTTTAAAAAGAAAAAAATACTCTCCTATATTTATTATTTTATTTAGATCCTTTTATTTCTTTTTTATGCTTTAAACAAATATTTTTTTTAAAAAATCAATAGAAAAAATAGCATTAATATTAAGATTAATATACATTATTAGCAAAATTCATCTCAACACTAATGAAAATCTGAAAATACTAAATGCTAACTTTTGAATACTAAATGTGACTTTTTTAATGTTTCCAGTAATATTACTGAAATTAATAATTTTTTTTATCATATTTAATTATAGTGTTTGTTGGTTATGAATATGGTTCTTGCCCTCATGTCATATGGGAAGTTCAGACTACTCAAGTTAGTGGACATGACATGAGTATTTCAGAAATTGGAGGCTGGAATTTGGATATACATCACCGTTATAACTTTCATGAAGGTAAGTTGTAACTTTTTTTTTTATAGTTTAAAGAAAATTAATGTTTTATTGTGTTAACTGTTAAAGAAGCTTTTAAATGTGAAGATGATTTATTGATAGAAATATTTTGTACCTTATCCGCAAACTTTAAAAAACTCTATGACAAATACACATTTAGTTCATTCATTTGAGAAAATTACTTTTGGTGGACTGTGTTTTAAAAACTTTATTTAAAACTTTTTTTTTTGTCATTTTTTAACTGAATGAATTTGTTAGATAATTATTAGTTATACTCTTTAATTGACAACATCCTTTATTAGTTTGTAATGGAATTTTATTTAATTTTTATCTTTAATTTTAGTTCTGTTTCTTACTAAATTGTCTAGAACATTAAAAATATTTTCAAAGAAATCTGTCTTTCTAACATAGTTTCAAGGATTTTCATTTACCAATTTTAACGTATTTCTTAAGCTGCTTGAAAATTACACCAAGAAATAAGTAAGAAATATTTATCTATCATTTCATCAGTGATACCGACAATTTTTACTATTATTTAAAATACAGTCATTGTTTATAGCTTTTTGTTATCTAAAATGTATATATGTAGGCTCATGGCAGTTTGAAATAATAGTGCTAAAATTTTCTGCATATTGAAATGACTTCAACTAAATTTTTCTGTGGATATAATATGATATTATAGGTTAAATTAAAAGTGGAGTAAAATTCCAATTTTTATCAGCATTTCACATTAAAAAGTAGTAAATGTGTCATTCAAATAAAGAATTTCTTTTAAGCTCAAAATATATATTTTCCAAAGTAACAGAACTATTACCTTTTTTTTTCTTCTAAATTCTACTTGCTATTTTTTTGTGAAAATATGTGGATAATATAATAAGTTTGACTTCAAAAAAAATGTGTTTGATATAATCATAAAAATTAAGTATTTTATAAATAATGTAATTTTTGCTTTCTTATAAAATTTCATTAATTATTTTTTAGGTATTTTACAAAAAGGTGATGGAACTAATATTTATCTTAAAAATAAACCAAGGGTTCTTGTCACAACAATGGGGGATGGCCATCAGCGTGCTATGCATTGTCACCAGTGTGATGGTGTTGCAAAAAAACAAAGACTTTTAGCACCTGTTGCTCTTGCAGCAGCACCAGATGGAAGTCTTTATGTTGGAGATTTCAACTTAATTCGCAGAGTTTCTTTGGATGGTCATGTTGCTACTGTGGTAGAATTAAGGTGAGTTTGTTCAGAATTTGTTAGTCACCGAATTACTTGTCTCAAGGCTACATACAACTATATCTTTTACTTCCATTTTTCTTGTAAACACTGAGTTTACGTAGCAAATACTAACCAAATTGATTTTAATTAGTAAATTACAGATTTTATTGATAGATTGTTGTTGATTAATAGATCACAAAATATATTTTTTTTACTTAATATTAATACACATGCACTAAAATAATAAATATCAGCTGCCAAACCTTAAGTTATATCTTACTTTAAAGTAATTAATCGAAGTAATGGCTCTTAAGCAAAAATAATATTCTAATGGAAGAAATTTAACCTTTTTTTTAAAAAAGAAAAAGAACTTGGAAATATACTGTAATTTTAAGTTTATTACTTTCTATCATTTTTCTGTAAATAAATATGTATTACAAGAAAAATGCTATTAAAAACTGCATAAACTATGCTCCCATGGATCAGGGAAAGCCTGGAATTGTCAGGGAATTTTATTTTAACACTAAAAAGCAGGGAAAGTCTCAGTTTATTATTTAAAAAAACCTGGAAGATTCCTACATCATACCTGGAAAATAACAGTCTCAGAATTGTCAGTAACTGTAATCAGTTATTGACATTTGAGTTGAATAGTTCTAATATACTGTTATTTTATAAGATTCCACTTTTTAGAGAAACTTTTCCATGTTTCTATTCTTTTTCTATTATATGTTTCTGTTTACACAATCTAATACTGGACATTACAAATAAAAAATAGGTTTTTGATGAAAAATTACATGATATAGATAAAGTATGGTATGGATTTTCATTGAAATTTAGCTAGTGTACCTGGAAAAGTCAGGATTTTTTTTTTTTTTTCAAATTGAGCGGGAATTCTGATAAGTTATTAAACCAACAAAGAAAGCTATTTTACTAATTTTTATTAGCAATTAAATTTATCATTTTCTGTAAACAAAAGTATTAAGCAATCAGAGTCCTACATTAATTATTTTTCTAACATTACTGTGCATTTGTTTTAAAAAAAAATTTAGTTTCTATTCTAAATAAAGACGATTCAACGTTTTAGTAACAATTTCAAATAAAGTTATGTTATTTTTCTAATACAGTACGGAACCCGTTATCCGGAAATCAGAAAACCGGAAAACTAAAAAACCGGAACGAAATTCGATACATTTTCCCGCCATTTTTTAAATTTTTTTTTTTTTTTCCTCTTAAGATTTTAGGATTTTTCTTCCTTTTTTGAAAGATGTTTACCTTNGTAAACAAAAGCATTAAGCAATCAAAGTCCTACAGTAATTATTTTTCTAACATTACTGTGCATTTGTTTAAAAAAAAAATTAAGTTTCTATTCTAAATAAAGACGATTCAAAGTTTTAGCAACAATTTCAAATAAAGTTATGTTATTTTTCTAATATATTGAAACTGGAACCTCAAGGATTCTACAAGCATGTAACAATTGCTATCCTAAAACACTCAATTTTACCATTTCATTACAGTATAAATTTTTACTTTACTTTTTCTACATTAAAAATAATTAATTTAATAATTGTTATTTTGTTTTCAGTGCTGCTCAAGTGGCTTATCGTTATCATTTGGCTGTTGGGCCAGCTGATGGGAAGTTATATATATCAGATCCTGAAAAGCATCAAGTTTTCAGAGCTGTTGATTACTACAACATACCAGATGTTAAAAACAATATTGAAGCTATAATTGGTAATGGTGGTAAATGCTTGCCAGGAGACAAAATGCTTTGTGGAGATGGTCGAAAAGCTCGAGATGCCAAATTAGCTTATCCAAAAGGTTATTATTATGACATTGCTCGTTAAATTGCTTTTATTACTCCATATTAGTTGATGTAGTTATTTTTGATGTCTGAACCTTTTAATTTTTTTTATATATATTTTCCTTATTTTGAGTTAAAAAGTGCTCAAAGTTATTTTAATATGTCGTAATGTCATTAACTGTAGATTAGTGCAAGAAACAATTGTAGTCTATTTTAATTTGACTTTTAAATCATTACAATAAATTACATAAACTTGAATTGAAAATGTATTGCTTAAATAAAGAGCACATTTTTATTTAAATGTGCATGTAATTTAATTTCCTTTCCTGCATGTCATGTTAGCCATTTGCTTAACACTATATAAGGTTAGATGACATTCTAATTTTTGAAGGTATAATGATCAATATTATTTTATTGATGGAATATTTAAGGTTTTTTCTTTTAATTAAAATCTTTTTTGTATAATTCTTTTTATTACTTGTATTTAAGGTCTTGCTGTCTCTGCATATGGTGAAATCTATGTAGCTGATGGGACAAACATTAGAATGATGGATCGTAATGGAATTATTCATACTATCATTGGAGATCACTATCACAAAAGTCACTGGAAACCTTTCCCATGTGGAAGAACTGTTTCAATATCCCAGGTAACTATTATCTAATTAAAAACACTTCATTTTTTATTTTGAAGGAGCTAATTAAATAATTACATACAGTGCAAAATAGTTATTGAAATATATGATGCAATTGAACTAAAGTTAATAAGTAATAAAACTTGAGTATAACTGTGTTTAAGTTGTATAAAGCTCTACATTAGTAGAAAGGTTCTGGTCCATAGTGACCACAGAACAGGAAAAATATGGAGAAATCGGGTAATTTTATAAATCTATAAAAATCTGGAAATTTATTTAAATTTATTAAAACAACAGAAATTCAGTTAGTTTAAGTTCGATATACATTGAAATCCATGACTTTTTTCTAAAAAGTTGATAATGTTTTGTAATAAAGTTTTAAAGTAAAACAATTTTAAAAGCAAGCATAAGTGTTTTGTTATATCTTTTATGTATAAGTATAAGGTATAACTGAAAAATTAATTATAAAGTTAGTCTGTTAAAATCCGGGAAGTTTTTTTCTAAGTGTTTGTGACCATGCTTTTAGTCACTTTTTTCCAATGGCTGACATTTTTACATCAAACTGTTACCACCTAGCAACTTAATAAATTTTGGTATAACAGCACCATACACTGTTACATTCTATTGCTTACTTGGAAATTATGAATATTGTGTTCTTAATAATTTCAATAAAATTCTGGTGTAAATAAAATTTTGATGTCTAAATATTTTTAACTTGTTTTTTAAAAAAAATGTCAGGTAGGCAGTTGTCATAAAATATGCAGCTTAGCGTATATGACTAGAGACAAAACCCTAAAAATGTGTATACAGGAAATTTTCTAAAACTTTCTATTTTTATAGGTTCATTTAAGATGGCCCACAGAATTAGCTATAAACCCACTGGACAACTCCCTACACATTCTTGACGACCACATAGTATTACGCTTGACTCCTGACAAACGTTTAAAAGTCATCGCTGGCCGACCAATGCAGTGTCCTATACTACCACCATCTGCTGAAAAGTCTGATATTGCCATCGAGAGTTACCTTGAATCTCCACAGAGTATATCCTTTTCACCAAGTGGTGACCTTTACATTGCTGAGAGTGACTCTCAATTGATCAACAGAGTTAGAGTTGTCAGCAGCGAGGGTCGCATTGTCACCTATGCTGGCGCTGAGTCAAAATGCAGCTGCCTTGATATCAATTGCAAGTGCTTTGATGAGGATCATAACCTTGCAGCTAAATCTCAACTCAGCACAATATCATCGATAGCCCTAACTCCAGATGGTTGTTTGCATATATGTGACCAGGGTAACTTGAGAATTCGATCCGTCGTTACCTCACTTCCAAAAGCCAATGAAGTTGGTGAATTCCACATATATTCTTCAGAGACGCAAGAAATCTATATTTTTAACCGCCATGGCCAACATGTTGCTACAAAGAACATCCTTACTGGAAAGACGATGTATTTGTTTTCGTATAACGTGAATACTAGTCTTGGAAAATTGAGTACTGTTACTGATGAAGCAGGTAATAAGATTTACATCTTGAGAGATTACACGAATCGCGTGAATACCATCGAGAATACGCAGGGTGGCAAATGTCTTCTGGAGATCTCGAGGATGCAGATGCTTCAAAGGTTTACAACGCCTGACAACTTTAAAACATCTTTTGAGTACCAGGGAAGCACGGGTTTGCTTAAGAGCAAGTTGGACAGCTCAAGAAAAGCTTTTGTTTATAATTATGATAGTTATGGCCGCTTGGTGCATGCTGTTACCCCAACTGGCCAAATTATTAAACTAATTTACAATCTGAGTATTAAAGGAGCTTCTGTAACAGTTCTGCAAAATGATAAAGAACTGATGTCTTTGTTGATTAGAGGACTTGATGTTTCAAGAAAGACAGGTTTGTTTGATTTTACATTTAAATTTATGCCTTCAAATTTCTGTTTAAATATTTTATTTTTAAAAAAAATAATATCTTGGCTATTTTATTTCTCTTTGAAAAGGAAACAGGCTTCATCTCTAAATCATCTAGATTTAGAAAGATAGATTTGTTTATAATTTTCTACCTTTTTTATGTATTTAATACTATGTTGTTCTGCTAATTTAATAAAAAATATGTTCAGAAGAAATAGCACAAACTATTTTTAAGCACATTGAAGGATGTGAAACCTGGTACATTATTATGTTTTATTCTGAAATTACCAAAACTTCTGTATTTCAAAATTAGGATAATCCATAAACTATTCTAAAATTGATAATAGTTGAATTGAATAGTTGAAAAATTGAAAAAAATATTAGCAAAACATAGTATGTAAAATGCTTTTCTAGTTCTAAACTAACTATTTTAGCAATTTGTTTATTGCAGAAATGGAATTTATAATAGAATGTTTACAATTTTATCAATTTATTTTCAAAACTGTTTAATGATGGTTCCATTTTTTGCATACATTTAAATTTTGCTTAATGATTATTTTTTCGCACTGGAGGGGGTGCTGATATGCTTTCATATCATTAACAAATGTTTTTATCTACTTTTGACATCAGCTATCAGATAAAACATCCTTAACCCTAGGTGACATTTGTTTAAAATAAATGTAAAGTTAATTTATTTACTAAGAAAAATAATTTCTTTAATAATAAGTTTCTTTCTGATAACCATAGTTGCATTCCCCTTAATAAAATTGTTCCAATTTCTAGGTTTGATGCAGCAACGCATCACTCAGTACCAAGATGGAAGCCTTATATTAGCATTGGAAGATTCCAAAACTATTGAAATGGAAACTGCCCCTAGTCCCGTTATTACCGATCAAAATGAAGTTTTGGGAGAAATCTTCCCCGTGCCTACAAAAGTAAAGGCAACTTTAAGTGATGATGTTATACAAAGGTTTGAATGGAAGTATTACTTGAGGAGAGAAGGAAAGGGTAAAAACAGGCAAATCACTCAAGTTGGAAGAAAAATGAAGGTAAGAAAGTTCTTGATTTGAAAATTACAATATTTTTTGCCTGTATTTGACTTTGATTTATTTAGAATTTAACAAATAAATGTAAACATTCATCACTAATTAAATGCATATATTCTTCATTAGGTTTATAACATTTAAATAATATAAGCTATCACTTAAAAATGGAGTATATAAAATGTGCCGTAGATTGTTCTATTAGGAATTTCTAAAATTTAACAAAAGTTTCTTTCATTTATTTGTTTGTTAACCTTTTTTTAGGTTTTTTTTTAATGATATTTGGTTGTGTCAAAAGTAGTTTCAGGCACCTTTTATTTTAAAAAGAAACTCTTTACCCATATAAACCTAAATCTACTGCCTAAGTTATCTCTAAGTGTATTTCATTTTTATCAACAAAAAAAACCATAAAAAATACATTTTTAATCTACCAATATGCAACTACATAATTTTTACTGTAATATTTTTTTTAATTTCAAGTGGTTACATTTATATAATGTTATGCTACATTACCCTATAGCATTTGTATTTAAATCTAACATATAAACTTTAAGAAATGAGCATTATGTTACAATTATTTTAACATGCTTTCAATGCAAAAAAAAAAAAAAAACTATCATTCTAACATATTTTCCTTTGCTTTTCTCTAATTCTTAAAAACACTAATCATGTATAATTTTTATAAATTTTTTATTTAAATGCAATGTATTTGTAACAAGTTCTTACTTATTTTTTCTTATACAGATACATTTTATCCTACTTTCTTTGATTTTTGTCACTTATTAAACAATAATTTTGCTTTTTTTGACTAACATATGAAGTCATAATGTGATGAGTAATTTTTTATATCGGTAACAAATTTGCTGCCTTTTTATTTCGTCATTCTTAAAACCTATTGTTTCTTTCTATTTTTTAACCAATACTTACCAAAACTGACTTGATCAATATCTGAAAACTATCATATTATACTGATCTTGAAAAAACTTAAATGTGTAACAATAAAATGGCTGACTTATGTATAAAGTAATGTTCTAAAATACCAAATATGATTTTCCTAACAGGTAAATGGTGAAATTCTTGTAGCTGTTGAATTTGATCGAGAGCAGTACAGTGAAATAGTCTATGACAAAAATCAAATACCACTCGTAACAGTTCATTATGATGAACTGGGTCGACCAATACAATGGCAACCAAGTCAAAATATAACGCCTGTTCAATTGAAATATGACAAATTTGGCCGGTTAGAACGGTGGGAACGAGGATTGCTATCTGAGCACTACTCATTTGATATTAATGGACGCCTGGCTGATGTACGATTTTCTGATAGCTCTGGATTTATGTACAAATATGATGACAACCTTGCTTCACTGGTAAGTTAACATCCAACAAGATATTTTCTGTTTTATTTAAAATCATATATGAAATATAAGCTTTTTTTTTTCATTTTTGAACACAATTGACAGATTTTCAATCCATGTAATGATTACATCTAACTTCTACAGTTTAATTTATATGAAGTGTAATTAAAAATGTACACACTAATAAAATAAAATTTGTTCTGTTTTAACTAAAATCAATACTTATAATTCTTATAAATCTATAATCTATTTCATCAAAATATTTTTTTACATAAATTTAAAAGTTTATTAGGTAAAAATTTAAGTTTTATAAGTAAATAAATTTTACGTTAAAAGCAATTTATCCATTTTTTTAAGAGGATATAGAGATATGTAAAATTTGAAATTTTTTTTTAATTGATTAGAGGGAAAGGTTGCTTTTTTAAGGACCTTTAAATTTTATCCATATCATTGTTCCTTTTGACAACATAACAAGGACAAACTGGTTTGAGGACAAAACTGGTTACTGTTCTACTGAACAAATTTATTCTTTCTCTGTGTTATTCAATAAACTGCTACTATTTCTCTGAAAAATTTTGGTTCAAGTTTGTCCAAGAAAAAGGGCAGTAAAAAGGCCAATAATTAAGTATTGAAATTGTAATTTCATACAGATTGAGAAATATCTTATTGATTTTTTCTTGACATTCAAATTTTTTATTCATTTTTGCAGCCTACCGAAGTCATTCTTCCAAGTGGAAGCCGTTACCTACTTCAGTATGATTCAGTGGGAAGTCTTCAAAATATCAACATGCCTAACGGTCACAAGCATGAAATAGCCATTCAAATATCATTTGGTTTCTACAAACTTCTGTATCTGTCGCCAGGTGTCAAATTTCCTTATGTCCTTCAAACTAATGAGTTTGGACAAATTTTACTTAAACGCCTTCCGAAGAACAAAGGCAGAGTATTATACAAATATGATGAGGGAGGTATGTTGACTACTTTGTTCTGTGGTAATGAGCGAACTGATTTTACTTATTATGAGCATAAGTCGCTGTTAAAATCTGTTGTAAAAATGGCATCAGGTCTAGAAGTTAAGATGGATTATAGATATCACGGATCATTGCTCAAAGAAGAAAGGCATCGATTTAGCAGCAGAAGTGGCATGGATGGTGCTAAGTTTAAATACGTCTACGATGGCCGCCTGTCTTCTGCTGTAGTGGAAATTAATGGCAAAAGTTCATCTGAAATAAAATATCGATATAACACTGAAACTGGAATTCTAGAACAAATTCAACATTTCATCATACATCGCCCGAAAGTAAACAGCATATTTATTCAAGATGAAATGAGACAATATTCCAAAACTATTGGCTTAGATGCCTATGGCAGGATTGTTGTATTAGCTGTGACATTATGGAATAAGGAGATATATTCGTTGAATTTGAAATATGACAATCGAAACAGGGTAAAGCAATCTCACATGAAAATTGGCAGGGAAGGTACAGCTAGTATCCACAATTACAACTACACCCTAGATGGATTTTTGGAGGAAGTTTCTGGAAGTGATAGATGGAAATACTCCTACGACATCAATGGTAACTTAAATAGTGTATATGATGGTCAACATCAGCTTTCATTGAGATATGATGACAGTGATCGCTTACTTGGCTACGGTGACTCCGTTGCCTATATTGTAGATGACAGAGGTTACATAGCACAGAGAGGTGAAGAAAAATTCAGTTTCAACGCTGATGGTCAACTTACCCATGCATTCCAGCTGCATCAATATGAAACCTTTTATTACTACGACCATAAAAATAGACTGATAGCTCGCAAAGATCACAAAGGAAATGTTACTCAGTTCTTTTACTCCGATCCCCTTCATGAAAACCGCCTGACTCATCTTCACTATCCAAAGGATGAAGCCACCTTCATCTACATTTATGACAGCAGTGGACATCTTATGTACATCCAACAGGATGGCTTGAAATATTATGTTGCAAGTGATCATTTAGGATCTCCTGTTGCTCTATTCAATGCAGAAGGAGTCATAATCAAAGAAATGAGCCGGACTCCTTTCGGTAGAATGTTGTCAGACAATAATCCAGACTTCTATTTGCCCATAGATTTTCAAGGTGGAATAAGAGATCCTCTTACTAACTTGATACACTATGGTGGAAGAGTTTATGATCCGCTTGGAGCTCAGTGGCTTGTTCCAGACCTGGGGTCCATGCGTAATTTGCTGCAAGAGCCTTATAACTTGCATCTTCATAGATTCCACCGCAATGATCCCATTAATCCATTCCAGGAAAAGAATCATCTCACAGGTTAGTATTATTACACAAATTATTAATATTTTGTATTTAAAAGAAAGCAAGTAAAGAAAAATTTTTAAAAATTAGTTTTTCTTCAAATAAGTTTCCCTTAGAACTGCTATTACACAAAATAATTCAGCATAAAATTGGCAGGATAATAATAGCAAGAATAAAAATTTGAAATTACTAATTTTTTTTGTTAAAAGCTATCTACATTATAAAATATACAGGGTGACTCTGAACAAGATGGTAAAATTTAACTGGACGATAGAACGCATCAACATGAGCAATATTCATCATATGCATGATCGGAACGCTAGTAGTGGGAATTTAAAAGGTAGTTTTTCATTGTCACATTTAAAGAATTTATACAAAAATGAAAAAAAAAATTATTCAGAAAGTTTCTTATTCATAGGAATGTGATTGATGTACAAAGAAACTGCTCAAAAGAAAAAGATACAATTCGTGTGCAAAGAATCACTTGTACAGTGCAAAAAAAGGACCACAAAATAACTTTTGATCCAATGATCGGATCTCTACTCTCTAAGACTCAATCTTAATAGCTCAAGGGGGCGATTTCAAATGTGCTAATTAATAAAATAAGGTGATATTTTAAGTTACGAAATCAGACGTAGAAACATACTTTTTTCACAATAAATATTCTTCAGTGGATTCGGATTTCTGACGGACAAGATATAGTCCCAATACTTTGGTCAGGAGAGTGCTCCAAAGTTTGGACCCTTAATATCAATTTTACTTTTTGCATATTTCGCTATGTCTCTAGAACTTTTTAACCGGATTGAAAAAATTTTGCACACAATTATTCGTTTGTCCAAAGATAAATCCATGCAAAAAATAACTTTTTGTAAATAGTTATTATTTTTTATTTTATTTAATAATGGTTAGAAAAATTTAATTGTAAGGTACACAATATTTTACATAATTTTAAGGAATTTAATTTTGCATGTCAAAATGCGAAATTTTAGCCAAATCGGTTGAATAGTTCATGAGAAATTGAATCTCAAATATTTAAAATTCGATTTCTCAAGAACTATTCAACTGATTTTGCTCAAATTTTGTATTTTGCCACGTAAAATTATATTTTTTGAAATAAGACAAAATTATGTACCTTACAATTAAAAAGAAATTTGACCAATTTTAAATAAAGTAATAAATAAATATTTGCAAAAGTTATATTTTGCATGGAATTAACTTTGGATAAACGAATTTTATAATTGTGTGTGTGCAAAAATGTTTCAATTCAGTTTAAAAGTTCTTGAGATAAAGTGGAATAAGCAAAAAGTAAAATTAACTTAAAGATGTCCAAACTTTGGAACGCTTTCCTGACCAAACTATTGAGACCATATTTCCCTGATTGCTGCTATCCCCTATATTTTGTTTGTCAGAAATCCGAATCCATTAAAAAAAAAATTATGTTTATACAGAGAAAGTACGTTTAGTATCTGCTTTCGTTACTTGACATATCATGTGCACTCATTAATTAGCATATTTGTCACCCCCTCGAGCCATTAAAATTGAGGCCTAGTATGTGAAGATCCGATCATTAGATCAAAACTTATTCAGGGTGATCCTTTTTTTTTTGCACACTGTACATCAATCATATTTCTGTGCATAAAATGTTATCTAAAAAATATCTTTCCATAGAGTTAATTCTTTAAATGTGACAGTAAAAACTAACTTCTTACTGCTTGTGTTCCGCTTATACATTCTCTGATGAATATTGCTAATGTCGATGTATTTTATCTCCCAGTTAGGTTTTGGCCTCTTGTTCAGACTCGCTTCGTATACAATTTTTAAAATTAGCTTTTCCTTAACTTTGGATTAGTAGTGAAATATTATTAATTATTTTAATTTGTATTTTTAGATTTGAAAGATTGGCTGTCTGTTGTTGGATTTAATACTAATGACATAATGCCCTCTTATTATCCTGAAGAGACCTGTAATGACTTTTCTAACATCCAAGAATGTTCACCCGCCATATCTGGTATCAGTTGTGCCATCAACTCTCAAGCAATGGAATTTTACAAATTGTCTACTGTTCCAAAGACAGAGGTCAAAATAAGTAGTACATTTTCTGACAAAAAGAATCCACGCCTCACCACAATCCAGTCAGTATTGGGAGATGGTATTTTGCTCTCAAACAATAATGGCAAAGCGCTTGTGAATACAGTGTCTGATGGACCCAATATATTGAGAGATGTTGTGGTCACTGTGTTTAATGAAACTAATATGTTGAATTTGTATTTCTCCAAAAATGGACAAGATTCTTTCTTCTTTGTGCAAGAGGATGCCAGTAGAGCACAGAGGAATTGGGATCAGTTGCAAAGATTGGGTACTATGTTCAATATAACCATGCACAATGTAGATCCAAATGAAGGAAGTAGTGGTCAGGTAGACATAAAACTACAGAGTCCCAGCATGATTTTGAACATTAGATACGGGACGACGGTCGATGACGAATTTCGTCGCTTAGTTCGCTTAGGTAAACGCAGAGCTGTAGAGGAAGCATGGCAACAAGAAAAAGACATTGCCATGAAAGGACATAAAGGAATGTACGAATGGTCAAAGCTTGAAAAAGATGAGCTTATATCCAGTGGTAGCATTGCAAAATATCATGGTGCTTACATCCATGATGTTGGACAATTTCCTGAACTAGTTGATGATCCAAACAATATAATTTTCAAAAAAGAGAGCTTGCGGAAGAGGCGGAACAGACCACGCAAGCCAAAATAAAAAACAAAAACAGGCTGTAAATTGAGCATGGATATATTTTATGACTACTGTTACTGTTGGATCAGTGATGAGTTCTGTTTCTTCTACTTTTTTTAATGGTCTTTTAGCAATGTCGTTTTCGATCACACATTCACTCGACTGAATGTCCCCTGTGATTCTGACCCATGTTGGGTTGCCAACTTTTCAAATTATCCAATGTACTAAGGTACAACTCAAAGAAGCTTTATGATATCCTGTCCGAATTTTGCACATCGACTTCCAAAACACACTTTTATGAGCTATACTCAGGCGTGAGAGTAACCGAATGCACAGTGTCTGTACAAAAGAGATTTTTACAAATAAAAAAAGACATGCTGGTATGCATTATGAAACATACTGTGATTGTTCGACTGACTATTTATTGTTCGACAGCATCTTGGGCGGTTAGAACCCAAGCTAACACTAGCGATACTTAAAAAGGCTCTTATTCGTTTTACGATGTGTATACTAAAGAAAAGAATAGCCTTTGAAAGCAAGTTTTTTTGCACTGTGCAATATTGAACTTTACTCTTCATCTGATCATGTAAATTAACTTTTATGAATTATCATTCTATAATGATGGAAGTTTCAGACAAAACACTTGTAGAAGGAAACTGTAGGAATTGAAAAGTATTTTATTCTGATTTTAAATTTAATTTTGTTTTATGTATGGGCTGTATTGAAATACATATTATTTTGAATCACACAATTGAAATTATGACTGAAATATCAATATAGATGGACCAATTGTAGTGTGTTGATATTTGTATTTTTGCAAGTTAAAAAAAAAAATTCACAATAGTAAATTTCTTTAGTTCACTAGTCAGCTATTTTTCTTCTACTATTTTAATTCTGCTTAAGAAAATTTTGAATATTTAGCCAAACTAATATGAATTTTTGGGAAAAGTGATTTATGAAGAGTTTACAGAAAACATTTTTTAAAGACGTAAATGCTATTTGCACTTGAAATCAACATATTTTTACAATGCACATTTTTTCTCATTTTACTTTAAAAATGTGGTATAAATAAATGCTATAATTTGTCATATTATTTATCACTATCAAATTTATTGTGTGATATTCAGTTATGCTTTTATCACTTTGATGTTTGCAATCATATGTTTCTCAGTGCTGAAAACTTTTCCAACTCAAAAAGAAAGAACTATTAAATTATTTTAGAATATTCTTTGTCATAAACTACAAGCATTGTATATTGCTCAAATATATCTAGATGTGGTTAAATAATTCGACTTTTATAATTTAAAAAAAATTTATGCTAGCTTTTATATGATGTTTGTTCCAATAGAATTGCGAATGTGAAAGCATTTTGCAGGTGATAGTTGTTTATTCCTACATAATTATATGAATGTACAATATAAATTCATCTATTTTTGCTGCTATATTGTACAAGTAAATAAAATGAAATCATGAGTACATAAGCATGTACAAAAAATCTGTCAACAAACAGTATATGATGGGTTATTGAGACCATTTTGTAAATTTATACAAAATGAAATTAATTATGAATTTGGACATGTTATTCGTTTAACATATGTCTTAGACAAGGAACTATACTTGTACATCTTGTATACAAATATTGTACTCTTTTGGAATAAATCACTAACATGCCCTCACTCATTCTGGCATGTTCTGGTATGGGGTAAAAAATGTATACACAATTACTAAATCAAACATCACATCTCTACAAACACTACAGCTTTTGCATTCTCATTTTTATTTGAACAAATCTTATATTTTAGACTACAAAAATAATTCAAATAAAGGCAATTGATCTTTTCTAAAATCATTTAAATCTCAATTTCTGTTTATTTGAAAAACTTTTTTTATTTAAAAATACAGTACTACTTAATTTATGTTGTTTTAATTTACTTTTTTGAAAAAAAATTAAAACACTAAAATTGAGCTTTTTAAATTTAATAGAGAAAAGCGATTTGAAATTTAAGAGTAATTAGCACAGCTTTAATTTTTAAAAAAAATTACACAAAGGTTGTTTCTCAGTTCCCGAAATGCTAATATATTAAAAATTTCAGTTCTGATATTTTCTCAACCCTAGTGGATAAAACTAATTTATTTCAACAGTATACAATTCCACATGAATGCTTTTAGTAAACAAAGTTGTCTATGAGAATCAATAGATACTGAGGAAGTGCTTAAACAAATAACGTTACTTATTATGGTATTGAATAAAACTAGGTTGACTTGCATATTTATTTGAAATTTTTAATGATAAAGGTTAATTAAAATCAAATAAAAAAAAATTTAAAATCAATGATGTACTCTTTATTTATTTCTGCAGTTATATTGTTAGAATAAAGAATACTACATATTAAATTTTCTTCTTGATATGAGTTAGAAAACTTTTTCAGCATTCTTTTTTTTAATGCCTGTTTGAAATGATTTATCAGTATTTTATTAGTATTAGTTAAAGGTGGGAGCAAACGAGGAAGAAATTTATTTCCACCTTCAATTAAATCTTTGTACATGAGTTATATTTTGTATGCATGTATGTGAGGCTGTATGGTTCTATAAAAGGATACTGGTGCTGCTGCACAACCCACAGGGTAATAGAAAGATTATTCTTTTTATGCTATGATTGTTGAAAAGCAAAAAAAAAAACTGAACATTTTCAGTGATCTCTTTTTTTCCAAGTTTGTAAAATAATAGTGCACAATCAGGTCTGCAAATTTATATTTGATTAATAAAAGTCATGTATGTTAATAAACTGTATATTAAATTTTTAATGTCTTTAGTTGTCTTTTTTTCCAATAGTATTTTTCTTTCTGCTCATGTAAGGCATTTTAGCTTTGAACCCATCAATGGGATACCTGCAAGTGATGTAGTGTGAGTATCTCGATCCTGATTGGTTGTTGAAATGTGGCATTTGTTTATATTAGCAACCATTCTTTCCAGTCTATTTCGAGTAAGCCAAGCCCGTCAAGTATCAATTCTCGTAAGTGGCACAGTCTAAATTCTTCCACAAAGATTCTTTCTTAAAGATTTCACTATAACTTTACACAGAGACTTAACACAAAGGCAGGCATGAACCATGTGGAACATAATCAAATTTAACTATGCATCAAAGTTGCCAGGTACGCAAAACAAAAATAAATCTAAGTTAAATAAGTTGCCGAGAAAGAATTATATTTCAACTAATTCGATATGGCTCTGTATTTGATTAACTTGTCGTTAATTAACATTCTAACTTATGTAGAGAAACTTGCTCAACTTTAATATGCCATTTTGCTGATAAAGATTAGATGGCGCTGTCGACATGGGTCACATGTGTGGGCATGAGAGCTCTTCTTGAAGTGCAAGTGCCCAGTTGACTTATTTTTCTTTCAAATTATAATTTTTGTTTTAAATTATATTTATTATCCTCATTGAGATTTTATTTTATCCTAAAACTATTATTTTTTTTTTAAATTTAGTTTTACATATATATAATCAGAATGGTCTTTTTTTTAACAATTTTATGAAACGAAAGTTCTGCAGATATTTGTTATTTTTTTTAATAAACATAGCTCAAATACAGTATAAAATAGGTGCCATAAAATATTTTCCCACCGATTATTAAAAGAGATAAATTCTAATTTTGGTATGATCAGCTTGCATCAAAATCAACTATCCAAAGAAGTTTTTAAATTTAGGTTTATCTTTCAAAATTATTACGGACAATTATCAATTATTTTAAAAAATAAAAATATTTTCGGAAATTCTAATACTTTTTCTGGATAACTTCTGAAAAAGAAGTTTGTTCTGAAACCAAAGGCTGCTTTACTCAATTCTTATCAATTTGAATGCTGGTTCACTCAATTATTGTTAACTACTTACGTTACAGTACTATTTAACTTTCAATCAAAAATCTTTTTCTTTTTAATTATTTTACATTCTCTAAGCCAGCAGTTCCCATTCGCTATGGATCCCTAAATAATCGATCTTCTTTTTGCGGAATCTCGACTTTGTAAATAAAGTATATAAAGACAATTGTAAACGTATTAATCTATAAAAGTCTACTATATTTTGAAATATATATTTTTTCGTTATACCATTATATCTTAAAATATGTTTTATGTTTGACAGTTGAATTCACAGCCCTGAAACTGAATATAGTCTCGTAATGAATTTGTTTTTATTGAAATGAAAACTTAAAAGAACAGCTCAAAATAGTTATTAGGGAAACATAATTCTTCATTAACGTATTTTATTATGATTTGAAATGCTAACGTAATTTTTTTTTAAAATAATAATTTCCATAACTAATTTCCATTCTATATATTGTTATTAAAAATATATATAATTAAAAAAAATCATGCCATTTTTTTCCATTGGCATTTTACTTTAATTTCATAAAGATAACTCAATTACTAAATGAATAACGGATTTTTAACTAGATCTAAATGTTTTCGTTAATAATTTCGTCGGGTTTCGAAATTGTTGGGGGAAAAAACTGGTTAAAAAATTCCTTACTATTGCTCTTGAAGTCTTTCACAGTATCAACATTTGGGAATCGCTGCTTTAAGCAATGTTATTTAAAAGAAAATATTTTGTTTCGTAATTGATTGGTATAAAATCTCACATAACCAAAAAATAGCAAAACTGTAAGATCTGAGAAAATTCTTTAAACCTGCTTTAGATTTACCTTCTGATAATTAAGATCTTTAACTATGGGACAACTTTGTGATCTTTGATTTTTGTAATTTTAATATTTTGCATTTTAGACTTTATAACACTTACAATAACATAATTGAGATAAAAAAAAGTAATGTGGGAAATATTTTTTTTTACTATTTTAATAATTACACATTTAATAGCTTTAATTTTTTTAACCATTCTTAGTCCTTTTATAATTAAATTGAACTAATTATTTAGTTTTTATCACATTTTCAATGTAATGGCTAACTTTTCTTAATTCTATTCAAATGTATAATTCATTAATTCAGTGTAGAGGCAAATCGAATATCAAAATCTATTTTTAATTTTATTTCTTCAAACTACTTTATTTCTCTAACCACCAAAATTCTTCGATTAAAGGGTTATATACAATTCCAACTGTATTTTTGGTGATTAAGTAGTAGCCAGAGTATTTAACATTAATAACACAAGGTTGGCTTTCGTTTTGGCTATATTGTCTACCGATAACTCGCCAAATTTTGGCTCTTTTCCCATGCTCCTAAGCTTCCGTTAGCATTGCCTGGAAATTTGATTTTCTTGGCATTATCACTGGGAGGGGATGTTCGATGACCCCTCAGTCGCGCAGTTAATTTACTCAGTGTCACAAAAATGTTATATAAAAATATATGCCTAAGAAAAAACAATGCAAAAATAAGCTTATTTTTTTATTTTGTTAACATAATTTGTTTTTCATATTGCATCACATTTATTTTCACAAAATATTGCATCTAAAATGTAGATTACATTTGAGTTAACTATCAGCACTCGAACATTGTTTGCAACTTACTACTTTAAAAGTGAAATAATAAATATTTCGCATAAGCAGCCAAACATTTATTATTTGAAGTTAAATCCAAGATTCATTCGCTTTCAAAAAAAGTACTTTTGATTAATATTAATAAATATTTTGAAAATGTGTTATACACATTATTAATACAAAAAATATATATATTTATATTAGATATTTTAAACTACTGTGAAACAAAAGAGATTCAAAAAACTTTTAATAAATCAAATAACATTTGAACATAGTATACATTTAATTAAGTGCTTTAAAAATGCAATAACATATAATGGCATTAACAGTTTTTTATTAGTTTTTCGCAGACAATTAATTATATTTATTTTCTTATGCTGCATTTTTAATTAATTAAAATCAGTAATAATTCATTTATTCCCAAAAAAAATTTTGATTTACAAAAAATAA